CAGGCCACACAACTAATCAGGGCAGAGTCAGTGTTTACAGCCAGGTCCTCTCAACCCAGGTTGGAACATTTACCACTATTCTTTACTGTTTGTTGCTTTAAAATAATAAAACACAGGCAATAAGTTATCTTGCCACCCAGAGATCATTACCCCAAATGTTTTGGCATGTTCCTGTCTAGTCCTGTGCGAGTGGGAGTGTGTGGGTCCCTGGCCTTCTGTTTTATTGAAATGAGAACTTCCAGGTCTGTAATCCACTCTGGATATTTTTTGCCTCTATTGCCAGCCACGTCAGTTTTGTGTATCCCCTGAAGCACAAAGTAGGCTGAGATCACTCCGTGTCTTTCTGACATTCAGCTTCTAGAGTTCTCTCTCCCACAGGCAGCTCCAGGGAATAAGGTCTTAAGGATTCTTCACCCAGGCCCGGTCGGGCATTGTCCCCCTGGGGGCTGAAGTCCCCCCTTGGCTGCCTCGCCTCTGAGGTGGAGGTTGGCTGACACTAAGGAGTTTTTCATGCTGAGCATCAAGTTCAGATGGTGCGTGGGAGGACACAGAAGGTGGGCTGCTGATCTTGGCTTGTGCTGCTTTGTTCTCCAGCTTTGGTGGCACGTGCTCAAGCTTAACCCATTGAAGGAGCAGATTCTGATAGGAAAATTCTCGGTTCTGAAGCCCAAGCTCATTCCTCCCCTCTGGAGCCACGGATGCCAACATGTGGTGTAAACTAAAACTCTCAGGCTCCCCAGGCTGGGCGCAGTGGCTCATGCCTGCCACACTTTGGGAGGCCAAAGCGGGCAGATCACGAGGTCAAGAGTTTGAGACCAGCCTGACCAACATGGTGAAACCTACTCTCTACTAAAAATACAAAAATTAGCCGGGTGTGGGGGCAGGTGCCTGTAATCCCAGCTACTCAGGAGGCTGAGGCAGGAATCTCTTGAACCTGGGAGGTGGAGGTTGCAGTGAGCCGAGATCGTGCCACTGCACTCCAGCCTGGGTGACAAAGGGAAACTCCATCTCAAAAAAAAATCCTAGTCTCCCCAACAAACAGAATGGACACCTCCTCTCAGCCAAGGGTATTTCTAAAGTAAACCTAAAATACGAGTTCAGGCCATGGTGGAAATGGGGGGTCATGCTTCCTTACATCTCCTCCCTTTGGAATTCAGACATAGCTGACCAGCATCTATGTTAAAACAGAGATCTTGGCATGAGTGGCTCAAGCCTGTAATCCCAGCACTGTGGGAGGCTGAGGCAGGCAGATCATCTGAGGTCAGGAGTTTGAGACCAGCCTGACCAACATAGTGAAACCCCATCTCTACTAAAAATACAAAATTAGTCAGGCATGGTGGTGCACCACACCTGTAATCCCAGCTACATGGGAGACTACAGCTGGGCAACAAGAGGCAGGAGAGTTGCTTGAACTCAAGAGGTGAAGGTTGCGGTAAGCCAGGATCCTGCAGCCTGGGCAACAAGAGCGAAACTCCATCTCAAAAAAAAAAAAAGAAGAAACAGAACCCTTAAGGCTGACTTTTCGTAGCAGTAAACCACCAACATGACAGCAGAGTAATGGTGATCACATTTAATCCTAAATCAAACCATTTTATACCAAAACATAATTCCTTGACATATTTTTTAAGGGCCCTGCAAAGCTGTCTCTTGTGGGGAAAATCCACATTCTGCAGAAAATCCTCTTCCCTTTCCAGATCTTTTTCCTGATGCAGAAGATAATTTTTTTAAGGAAATAATAATTATACCTACTTCATCACATTTTCATGATGATTAAATGAGTTACTACACAGAACTTGGAGTAATGCCTAGTTCTTTTTTTAAGATTATAATGTTTTTATTTTATTTCAATAGTTTTGGGGGAACAGGTGGCTTTTTATTACATGGCTAAGTTCTTTAGTGGTGATTTCTGAGATTTTGGTGCACCTGTTACCCGAGCAGTGTCCAGCTGTACTCAGTGTGTAGTCTGTGATCCAGGAAAGAATTGATTAAGAGATTGGCACCTTTATAAACCTAATAAGCAACACGTACAATCTCTTCTCTCTGAAGCCTGCTACCTGGAGGCTTTGTGTGCATAATAGAAACCTTGGTCTCCACAACCCCGAATCTTAACCCAAACACATCTCTATTGACTCCAGGTCTTTATTTTAATTTTTTTTTTTTTTTTTTTTTTTTTTGAGACAGAGTTTCACTCTTGTCACCTAGGCTGGAGTGCAATAGTGCAATCTCAACTCCCTGTAACCTCTGCCTCCTGGGCTCAAGCAAATCTCCTGCCTCAGCCTCCCGAGTAGCTGGAATTACATGCACCCACCACCATGCCTGGCTAATTTTTTTTTTTTTTAGTAGAGACAGGGTTTCACCATGTTGGCCAGGCTGGTCTCAAATTCCTGACCTCAGGTGATCCACTCGCCTTGGCCTCCCAAAGTGCTGGGATTATAGGCATGAGCCATTGCGCCTGGCCTATTTTAATTTTTTGAATAATTTTATTTTTTTAGTAGTCACAAGACACAGCCATGTCTTCTGTTCATAAGTTCCTATTAACTGTTTCTTTCTGAGAAACTGAAATAAAGAGGCTGAGAAATCCAGGATTTATCGTAATTTTGAAAACATCAAGGTTGTTTTGATCTAGGGTAGGGTTTACTGTGAGTACATGCTCTTACACAAAGGAAAACAGATAAAACAGAACTCTAAGAGGCCTTCCGAGAACTGGGGTTAATCAGAACTGGACACGGAAGATTAGCCTCCAAGATGGAGCTGTTCGGCCTCCACAGCATTATCTGCTGCTACATAACAAATTACTCTGCTCCCTAACATAGCACTTTTCTGCACTATAACCCTGTACTCCTGGCCTCAAGTGATTCCCACCTCAGCCTCCTGAGTAGCTGGGATTACAGGTGCATGCTATCATGCCCAATTCCCAACATGGCATTTTACATCACCAAACATTACTACTTCACACAGTTTCTGAGGGTCAGAAGTTTGGGTGTAGCTTAGCTGATTGGTTCTGGTTTATGGTCTCGCATGAGAATGTAGTCCAAATGCTACCTGGGGCTGAGGTCATCCGAGAGCTTGACTGCAGCCTTGGCTCACGTGGCTCATGACCACAGGCTTCAGTTCCTGATCAGCTGAACTTTCCTATAGGACTTCATAGGTGTCACAGCATGGCATTGGGCTCTCCCCAGAGCAGGCAGTTGAGAGAGAGAGCAAGCAGGAAGCCACAGTACTTTTTATGACCTAGTCTTCAACTCACACACCATCACTTCTGCTTTTTGGTTTGTTTTCTTGGATGTTTTTGTTTTTAAGACGAAGTTTCCCTCTTATCACCCAGGCTGGAGTGCAATGGGGAGATCTTGGCTCACTGCAACCTCCACCTCCGGGGTTCAAGCAATTCTCCTGCCTCAGGCTCCCCAGTAACTGGAATTACAGGCACCCACAACCACACCTAGCTAATTTTTGTATTTTTAGTAGAGACAGGGTTTCACCATGTCACCCAGGCTGGTCTTGAATGCCTGACCTCAGGTGATCTGCCTGCCTTGGCCTCCCAAAGTGCTGGGATTACAGGTGTGAGCCACCATGCCCCGCCCACTTTTTGTTTTGTTTTTGAGACAGGGTCTCACTCTATTGCCCAGGAGTGCAGTGGTGTGATCATGGCTCACTGCAGCCTCCTGAGCTCCTGGGCTCAAGTGATCCTCCTGCCACTGCTCCTGAATAGCTGGGACCACAGGCATGCACCACCATGTTCAGTTGATTTTTGAATTTTTTACAGTGATGAGGTCTCCTTACGTTGTCCAGGCTGGTCTTGAACTCTTGGGCTCAAGAGATCCTCCTGGGCCTCCCCAAGTGCTGCAATTCTAGCATGAGCTACCATGCCTGGTCCTCTATTTTTATAATACAGACTGGCAGTTGCCAATTTGTATATTTAGTCATGCCCCACCACACATTTTGAATAACCACAATATTCCATTTCATTCTTTTTTTAACTCAGTCTAATCTGCTGTTAAATATATCCATTGTGTTTCTAATTTCAGGTATTAAATCTTTCATTGTTAGAATTTTTTTTAGGTCATTTAAAATATATGGGCCGGGCTTGATGGCTCATGCCTGTACTCCCAGCACTTTGGGAGGCCAAGGTGGGTGGATCACCTGAGGTTGGCAGTTCAAGACCAGCCTGGACAACATGGTGAAACCCTGTCTCTACTAAAAATACAAAAAATTAGCCAGGCATGGTGGCGGGCACCTGTAAGCCCAGTTACTTGGGTATATATAGTTTATTGTTCTCTGGTTAACTTTTTGGTCCCCTTTTATTTTTTAAAAAGGATTAAACGCCAGGCGCAGTGGCTCACGCCTGTAATCCCAGCACTTTGGGAGGCTGAGGCGGGTGGATAATGAGGTCAAGAGATCGAGACCATCCTGGTCAACATGGTGAAACCACGTCTCTACTAAAAATACCAAAAGTTACCTGGGCACGGTGGTGCGTGCCTGTAATCCCAGCTACTCAGGAGGCTGAGGCAGGAGAATTGCCTGAACCCAGGAGGCAGAGGTTGTGGTGAGCCGAGATCATGCCATTGCACTCCAGCCTGGGTAACAAGAGCGAAACTCCGTCTCAAAAAAAAAAAAAGGATTAAACATATCCATTGGGTATTCATTGTCTGATAATTTCCATAGTGGAGTCTGTGGATCTGCTTCTGCTGTTTTTGCAAAAACAATAGACAGCAGAATCAGAGTCACAGATTTTATTTCCTTTAAAATGTATTATCAGTAAATTTTGACTGGGACTTTATATGTGGGAAAACTAGAAGTCCTGTTGTGAGGGTGTATTTCTCTCAGAGAGAATTTACTTCAACTTCTACCGGCATCTGTGGGGTTTCCTAACAGGAAAATATAAATTCTTGGCCTGAGGGTTTTGGACTATGCAGGTGGAGTGAATTCAGACCTGACCATCATGTTTCACAATATTAGATCCTATGAACCCTCCAACCAGATGTAATACATGGTAACAACGGTTCGACAACACTGAAGTGAATATCCAGGTCTTAGGGCTGTGGCAGAATTCAGATCTGCTGAGGTGGCAATTCAGGTGTCAGCGAAAGGACCACCAAAGAGACCATTACTGAGACTAGGAGTCCCTGAAAGTGCAGCAGACAAAAAAGAGAAGTTCAAGGCAAGCAGGGAGAAGGCGGAGATGCAAAAGACACCAGTCCTTAAGGTGGGGAGCCCACTTCCGGGACGTGAGGGCCCCCTTCCGGGTGAGGGCCCAGGTGAGTCAAGGGCGGGCAGAAGTGGGCGTGGGGGTAGCGGGCGGAGCGTCCTCCCCGCGACGCAGCTGAGTCCCTTCCGGCTCCCTCGGGGTTCGCTTCGAGAGTTGACGGTGCGCCTCCCAGCGGACTCTTTCCCTCGGAACGGAACAGCGTTTTTCCTCCCAGGGAAAGGAAAAAGGAGCGGCTTTCCGTTGCGTTGGAAGGACAACAGATCCTGCACGGTCCTTAATTTCTTATTTATGACTTATTCCGCTCCTTCCAGTCCTCTACAATTAAGAAAGAAAAAAAGAAAACCAACGTTGACCCCGACGTGACTTGAACACGCAACCTTCTGATCTGGAGTCAGACGCGCTACCATTGCGCCACGAGGTCACAGCGAACCGGCGACTCCGCGTCACTAAAGACCTCGCTTCCCCAGCAAGGTCCTCGGGCTGGGAGACTCCAGAGGGAAGACGCCCTCTTTCCTGAATTCCAGCATTAACTTAGAGCGCTGGCGAGGGTCGTTTCCCGGGTGTGGGAACGCGGATGCGCTGGGGCACCCGGCCTGAACTGGGGCGCCGCAGCGGAGCCGCCACCCGGCGGCCGAACCTCGGGCTCCGCCTCCTCCGCGTCTGGGAGTGAGCCGGCGAGGGGACGCCGGGGTGCGGGGACTGACCCCGGTGGTGGGAGTGAGGAGATGCCCAGCAGGAGGCCGGGGTGGGGGGATCCCGGAGCCGGGGGATTTTAGGAGGGAGCGAGGGGACGCGGGGGAGAAGGGGACGCCGGGGCGGACGCGGGAGTGGGGTGACTCCGAGGCTCGGCGGGACGCAGGAGGTTAGGGGTGAGGAGAGGTCCAGGGGAAGCCCAGGGGTCAGGGAGACCCCCGGGCAGAGGGAACTCTGAGAGTGAGAGCGGGACGTCAGGGCGGGGGACGCAGGGGGAGGAGGGAACGCCGAGGCGGGGGTGGGGAGACTCTGGGCCGGGGTGGGGGCGGCGGCGCGGGTCCCGGCTTCCTTTGAGGCGGTGACGTTGCGGTTGGGAATTGCAGGACCCCGGGGTGGCAGCCTAGAGCGGGCGGGGCGCGGGGCTGCTCCTTCCTCCTCTCTTCTCGGGGAAGAAACGCGGGGCCCACGGCCAGGAAGCAGGTTGCAGAACAGACTTGAAAAATACCACGGTTCTTTTTCTTTTTGAGACGGGGTCTTGCTCTGTCGCCCAGGGTGGAGTGCGGCGCGATCTCCGCTCACCGCGACCTACACCTCCCGGGTTCAAGCGATTCTCCTGCCTCAGCCTCCGGAGTAGCTGGGGTTACAGTCGGCCACCACCACGCCCGGCTAATTTTTTGTATTTTTGTGTTTTAATAGAGACGGAGTTTCACCATGTTGTTCAGGCTGGTCTCAAACTCCCGACCTCAGGTGATCCGTCCTCCTCGGCCTTCCAGAGTGCTGGGATTACAGGCGAAACCACCGTGACTGGCCCCAGGCAAGGTTTTAAATGGCTCATTGCCCATTTAAGACTTCTGGCTCTTGTGGGAGTCTTAAGTCCCTGATTTGAACAGTACTTCTTCCTATTAAATAATTACTTAGTCTCTTTCTGTTACCCAGGCTGGAGTGCAATGGTGTGATCTGGCCTCACTGCAACCTCCGCCTCCCAGGCTCAAGCAATCCTCCTGCCTCAGCCTCCCAGGTAGCTGGGATTACAGACATGTGCCACCATCCACGGCTAATTTTTGTATTTTCAGTGGAGACAGGATTTTTACCATGTTGGCCAGGCTGGTCTCGAACTCTGAGGCTCAAGTGAACCTTCTGCCCGGGCTTCCCAAAGTGCTGGGATTACAGGTGTGAGCTGCTGCGCTGGGTCAATAAGTGTGTGAATAAATTCTTCAGTAAAAAAGCTAGTAAATAGGCCAAGTGTGGTGGCTCACGCCTGTAGCCTGTAGTTCCAGCACTTTGGAAGGCCCAAGAGGGAGGATCACCTGAACAAAGGAGGTCGAGGCTGCGGTGAGCCATGATAGCACCACTGCACTCCAGTCTGGGACAGAGCAAGACCCCATCTCAAAACAAAAACAAAAACAAAAAACACCCTATTAAATAAGAAAGATAAACTCTCCTGGTCTGTTCAAGAACATGAAGCATCAATCTTAATTCAATAAATACGACACCCACAGGGCTTGATGTCTTAAAGAAAAGGAAAGATCTGGCCTGAGCAGTGGCTCATGGCTTTAATCCCAGCTACTCTGGAGGCTGAGGCAGGGAGTTGCTTGAACCCCGAAGGCTGAGGTCACGGTGAGCTGAGATTGCACCATGGCATGCCAGCGTGGGCAAGAAGAGTGAAACTCTGCCGCAAAAGAGAGAAGGTGGGGGAAGAAGGGAAGGGAAGGAAGGGAGGGGAGGGAAGGGGAGGGGAGGGGGCAAGGGAGGGAGGGAGGGAAGGAAAAAGAAGGAAGGAAGGAGAAAGAAAGGGAGAGAAAGAAAGAAAGAGAGAAAGAAAAGAAAGAAAGAAAAAACAAAAGATCTGGAAAAGGGCCCCTGGCTTTGCAAAAAGAAAAGAGTAGCCATGTTTGGTGAAGTTTCTAAGGGCTCCCAGGCTGCCTCTAACATTTCAAACAACAAAGGCATTTTTGACAATTTTTGTGAATGTAGCCAGATGTGAGAAAAGCAGGAATTTAGGATTGACTGTGAGTCCTGAGGTGCCAGCCATGAAGCTGTCAGAAAAGCAGGAAGCCAAAGGCTCCAGTCTTACCTCTGGGAGGGAAGAGTCAGCAGCAATGGCTGATTCCACCTCCAGGTGGCCAGAGACATAAGTCACCTCCTTATTGTTTTTGATGGCCCATGATGGATTGGACCCTCATGTGGGCAGCTGGGGAGTGGTGGGCTGGGTTCCCTTTCAGCTGATCATTCTGAGACTTCCTTCCTTTCTCCAGCATCTGCTGCACACCGAAGTCCCTATGAGGACTTCAGAACCTGAGTCCACAGTCTATTGGAAGGCACACCCCACACCAAGGAAAGACCAGTGTCACTCTGTTTTTATTTAAAGAAAATTTTTTGGCCAGGCCAGGTGGTTCACACTTGTAATCCCAGCACTTACGGAATGAGACCCTGTCTAAAAATAAAAACATTTAAAAATTTTTTTAAATTTATCTTTGAATAAGGATGTTTGTTGCTCAGGCTGGAAGACAGTGGTGTGATCACAGCTCACAGCAGTTCGAACACATAGGCTCAAGTAGCCTTCTGAGTAGCTAGGGTTACAGGTGCATACCACCCCCCCCCGTAATTAATTAAAAGTTAATTTTTAACTTTTTTGTAGAGACAGAGTCTCACTATGTTGCCCAGGCTGGTCGTGAACTCTTGAGCTCAAGTGATCCTCCTGCCTCAGCCTCCCAAAGTGCTAGGATTATGGGCATGAGCCACTGCACCCAGCCTCCACTGTGTTTAGACCCCTGCTCAGATGTGTGGCTATACCTTTGATGTCCTGGTCCCTATTCTCCTGGGATATGGAACCAAGAACTATCTGGTGTTATGTGGCATGGGCATGACCTTAAACTACAGTATGGTGCTGTGATCAAATGAAGAGATTAGATCAAGTGGCTTATGCAGATGTGGCTAAAGGGTCCCTTTAAAGACTAGGACCCCAGCTGGGCACGGTGGCTCACATCTATAATCCCAGCACTTCGGGAGACCGAGGTGGGCAGGTCACTTGAGGTCAGGAGTTGGGACCAGCCTGGCCAACATGTGAAACCCTGTCTCTATAAAACAAACAAACAAATACATAAATAATAAAGACTAGGACCCTACTTACCAGGGCAAGGACTAGGAGTAAGGCAGCCGTTCAGTGTGCAGGGTGGAGTCCCATCTTACGTAAAATTTGATACTTTGTTCACCAGAGATTTTTACACTAATTTCTGCTTTTGGAAATATTGAATATTTAGGTGTCTTCATTGCTGAGTGTTTTAACAGCTCTTTGAATTCTGCACCTGAGAGAGTCGCTCAGCGCCTCGCCCTCCTCCCAGCTCTGCTGTTGCCCAGAAATTGTAAAGAACTGCTTCCTTATTTTAGAGCTTGTATATGCAAACACTGAACCTTATTTTTAAAAAAAACTTCTGTAGAATATAGAAAATTAACAAATACAAACTAGGATAATTACCAACATTGGCAAGGATGAGTGAAAATAAATACTCTCATGCAAGATGGGAAAAGCGTGTATAAACTGGAACTTGCTTTTTGGGTTGTAATGTGATTAATGCTTTTTAGATGCTTTTGTCCATGTATTTCTATTTCTAGAGAATATGTACTAAAGAAACAGTTAAGGATTAATGCAAAGGTATGCCTTCAAGACTGTTTTCATAAAAATTGTGTTGATAATCATGAAGCCCCAGAGCAGCTTGACTGTCCCGTTGTACAAATGCAGCCTGGATTTCCGGGGCATGAGGCCGGGAAGCTGATGTTGATGAGGGCTGGCCCCTATGCATGAACGTACAAGGCTCCTGGAGTAAAGGGGTGTGGTAGTGAGAACTCAGATGACTGTGGTGGGGGAGGCGGGGGGGGCAGGGGTTACACCACAGGCACATTATGAGTGGGGCTGCCCCATCACTGAGAAAAACACACACAGCTTGGCATCCCGGTCTCTGCTGAGTTTAGTATCTTCTCACACCTGGGTAACTGGTGGGTGTTTTTGTTTGTTTTTGAGACAGGGTGTCACTATGTTGCTGAGGCTGGAGTGCAGTAGCACAATCATGGCTCACCGAAGCCTTGAAATCTTAGGCTCCAAAAGAAAGAAAAAAAAAAAGAAATCTTAGGCTCCAAGGGATCTTCCTGCCTCAGCTGGAAGGAGCTGGGACCACAGCCACCATGCCTGGCTAATCCTCCCACCTTGGCCTCCCAAAGTGCTGGAATTGCAGGTGTATTTGTTAGTCAAGGCAAAGTCTTTATTTTATTTTTATTTATTTATTTTTTTTAAGCAGGTTCTTGCTCTGTTGCAGGGCTAGAGTGCAGTGGCATGCTCTTGGCTCACTGCAACCTCTGCCTTCCGGGCTCAAGGGATCATCCTGCCTCAGTTCCCAAATAGCTGAGACTACAGGTGGATGTCACCACACCCAGCTAATTTTTGTATTTTTAATAGAGAGAGGGTTTTACTTTGTTGCCCAGGCTGGTCTTGAACTCCTGGACTCAAGTGATCTGCCTGCCTCAGCCTCCCACAGTGCTAGGATTACAGGTGCGAGCCACTGCGCAGCCTTGGCTCCTGTTTTCTAAGGGGCTGAAAATGTTCTGGCTCCCCAAAGCTCACGGAAGATGTCTTCTGTCTTTCAGATTTACACACTCCTGATCTGACAAATTCCAACTAGAACTTGAAAACTGAACCCTGAAGGGAAAAGGCATGCTGCCACATGGAGTGGGTTATCACTACCACCCCACTGAAGGCTTGAGGGACAGCCTTGCTTGAGGCTGCTTTCTCTGGAAGAAGTATCTGTTGAGACAGTGATTTCGGGAGTAACACTTGTGAAGGGAAATGGGAGTCAGCCAGGTTGGCAGGGAGACCCGTTAGGCCAAGGTGCAGATGTACAAACTATCTCTAAATGCCTCTACTCTCTGCCTGCCTGTGGGGAGTTCTGTTAGAGGAATCCCAAGTCCCATGGAAATGGCTTGCCCCGTGCCACCACATTGCTCAGTCACAGGCCAGGGCCAGGGCCACTCCTGCAGGAAAGCTGTGGTGGGCAAAGGCCAGCTGCAGGCTGTCTGCTAACTGCCCTTCTACGGCTGGACAGCAAGTTCTCCCCTGGAAGAGGACCTGAGGGCCACAGCTGGGCTCTGCCATGGCATGCAATATACATTACATTTGCAGATTTTTCCCTCTGCTTTTTTTTTTTTTTTTTTTTTTTGAGACGGAGTTTCGCTCTTGTTACCCAGGCTGGAGTGCAATGGCGCGATCTCGGCTCACCGCAACCTCCGCCTCCTCAGTTCAGGCAATTCTCCTGCCTCAGCCTCCTGAGCAGCTGAGATTACAGGCACGCGCCACCATGCCCGGCTAATTTTTTGTATTTTTAGTAGAGACGGGGTTTCACCGTGTTGACCAGGATGGTCTCGATCTCTTGACCTCGTGATCCACCTGCCTCGGCCTCCCAAAGTGCTGGGATTACAGGCTTGAGCCACCGCGCCCGGCCTCCCTCTTTGTTTTTTAACCATCTTTGATGTCCTACTTCAAGCACCAATCCCAGTTATGAGTGCCCAACTGACAGAGGACTCCAGATTCCTGGGAGTGAAGTTTCTGGATCATCTTCTCCAGCTCTCCTGCTCCCTGCTAACAGGGAATTTAGCCCAAAGGAAAGAAAGGAACTCGTTTTCCATTCTTCTAAATCCCAACACCAGCTAATTATGTCACTCTTCAGGAAAGATCCGTTGAAACTGGTGGCATGCCTTCAGTTTCCATCAGAAATCCTGACTGTGAGTCAGTGTGGCCTCATTCGGAGCCCCAGACAGAGGGCAGCCTCCACCAGGCTGCAGCCACCTGACTAAAAAGGCCAGTCTGAAGGCCGTGATGGGGAGATGCAGGAAGAGCGAAGTGGAATCTGGCTGCTACATGGGGGTAAAAATGCAGATTCAGTGAGTTTGTGAATATTGGGCATTTAGATTTTCATGATGATTTTGTTTGATGCCAGGTTTTCATTCATTTCATGTGTTATGCCTCAAAGCCCTCAAATGGGAAAGAAACCCTCTCTTAAAATGGAAAATCCAAAATGATCACAAGTGGAAACAGTTGCCTTGTCTTCTGTCTCTGTCTGTCCCCCTTTTAAGGCTTCTGTGACCTATTCAGCTTTGGTTTTTCTGAGGACGTGATTCAGTTTAAACATGTGTAAATGTGGCTGAACAGTCAGGGCCTAAACTCTTTCAGTGGCCTGTCTGATGAGTGCCATGTGTGTTCCGTGGTCCAAAGACACTGGAGTGATTTGGATGCCTGTGGACCCAGAGAAAGGGAATGCTGGGAGTGGAAAGTACTGTGTCTGCTGGGGTAATAGCTTGTGAATGCAACTGCAAGGGGTGAGGGTTCTGTCCAGCCAGGCCCTATTTGACAATAAATGTGACTTTTTCCATTTATCTTTGCCCCCATGACAATTTTGGCTGAACTTGTCTTTGGAGATGATTTTCAGCCTAGAGACCTGCACTCAAGACTTTATTAAACCCCAAACCCACACTTCTTTAATGCTCACAAAATGCAGCTGATGGTGAGTGTGGCTTATTAGTGAGGGCTGTGTACAGAGAGAGAGGTTCAGTGGCCGACAGAGCTCTGTGATTCTTCAACATTGATTAATATGATGCTGTCTTTTTTGGACCACCACAGCTGTCTTCCAACCTGATATATGATATTAATTGTAAAAGAGAGAGCTTTGTCCTAATTGGGATGTTATTTTGTTTTATTTTGAGACAGAGTCTCACTTTGTCACCCAGGCTGGAGTGCAGTGGCTCAATCTCAGCTCACTGCAACCTCTGCCTCCCCGGTTCAAGTGATTCTTATGCCTCGGCCTTCTCAGTTGCTGGGATTACAGGCAAACACTGCCACAACTGGCTAATTTTTTGTATTTTTAGTAGAGACGGGGTTTTGCCATGTTGGCCAGGCTGGTCTCGAACTCTTGACCTGAAGTGATCCACCTACCTCAGCCTCCCAAAGTGCTGGGATTACAGATGTGAGCCACTGCACCTAGCCTGTTCTAATTGTTAATCAGAATTTACTTTTATGGGTTTAAAATGTCTTTATGGTTCTGGCATGGTGGCTCATGCCTGTAATCTCAGCACTTTGGGAGGCTGAGGTGGGTGAATCACTTGAGGTCAGGAGTTTGAGACCAGCCTGGCCAACATGGTGAGACCCTGTCTCTGCTAAAAACACAAAATTGAGGCAGGTGGATCACAAGGTCAGGAGTTTGAGACCAGCCTGGCCAACATGATGAAACCTGGTCTCTACTAAAAAATATAAAAGTTAACCCAGCGTGGTAGCACACATCTGTAATCCCAGCTACTCAGCAGGTGGAGGCAGGAGAATTGGTTGAACCTGGGAGGTGGAGGTTGCAGTTAGCTGAGATAGCACCATTGCATTCCAGCCTGGGCAACAAGAGCAAGACTCCATCTCAAAATTTTTGTATTTTTAGTACGGAGGGGGTTTCATCATGTTGTTTGGCCAGGCTGGTCTCAAACTCTTGACCTCAGGTAATCTGCTTGGCTTGACCTTCCAAAGTTCTGGGATTACAAGTGCAAGCAACTTTACCTTCTTTAACGGCCTTTATTAATTTCCCTCCATTTTTTTTTTATGTGGAATATCTTCCTTTAGAGAGCCTTTTGCTATTTCCTCCCCCTAAGAGATTTTCTGCTTTAGGCTTCCATTCACATGTTGATAATATTGTAAGGAGCCTTGCATCTGTAAGAATTTTTTTTTTTTTTTTTTTTTTTGAGATGTCACTGTGTTGCCCAAGGCTGGAGTGCAATGGCAAAATCTTGGCTCACTGCAACCTCCACCTCCCAGGTTCAAACAGTTCTTCTGCCTCTGCCTCCCAAGTAGCTGGGATTACAGGTACCCACCACCATGCCCAGCTAATGTTTCTATTTTTAGTAGAGATGGGGGTCTCACCACGTTAACCAGGCTGGTCTAGAACTTCTGACCTCAGGTGATCCGCCTGCCTTGGACTCCCAAAGTGCTGGGATTACAGGCGTGAGCCACTATGACCTGCTGAAAGTGTTTTTAAGAATAAAATTGTATTAATTTTAGGTTCCCCCAAACACTTCAAGAAATTCTGGGCCAGGACTTAGGCCCCCATATCCTGCAGAACCATTAACCAATCCTGGGGTTCTTTAAAGGAAAGAGGGGTAGAATCCACATCTTTTTTTGTGGGGGAGGGTGGCTCTTCTAAGCCCTATTTTGAGGTTCTAATGTTTCTTGTCATCATGAGCACAAAGGCAGCCTCTCAGCACCTGTACGAACTATTTTTAGATGCACCTCCTCTAAGACCTAGTTCTCTATGGTTTTGGTCTTCTCTGCAGGGAATGGCACTCATTATTTCTGTTCCTATGCCCCCAATTCAGTTTATCTGATGAATGTTTCCAAAGGTTCAATGGGTTTCAGACTAAATTTGTCCCGGACGCTCTAGAGTTGTCAGCTGGACAGTGGGCCCCACTGAGGACGTTTGTCCCTGAGCTGGAGGCACAGCTTCCCACGCGGCATCCACACTTCTCACAGCACCTCGGCTCCCTGAGGCGCCACCCGACCCTGGTTACTTAGATCCAGACAGACCTGGACACGAGACAGGGAGGCCACAGGAGAGCTGGAAGGAGAGAAGCCTGGAATGCAGTCAGAGGCTGGGCCTGGGAGACCTAGCCCAGGGATGCAGGGCCAGGCCTGGGCTGACCGTGCGGACGAGGCCTGGTACTCAGGGGATCCAAGACAGGTGAGCGTGGCCTCCTCAGCAGGCTCAGGGTTTGGGGTTATCTAGAAGGAAGGGCCAGGCAGGAGCAGCAGGAGCAGCAAAGCGTCCCTCTGCCCAGACTCCGGCCAGGGCCAGGCCCTGGAACTCCGACTTTATACTGGTCCCGGGCCCTCCCAGCCAATCCCAGCTGAGGCTGCCCGTGCTTCACAATGGGATGCCTGAGTTGTCAGGCCGACCCCTCCCCAACCCTCATGCTCCATCTGCTGAAGACTGCCTCAAATAGCCCGGTCCTACTTCTTGCCCCATCACTACAGCCCTTCCCCTCCGGCTCAGTCCTCCACCTGCCCCCACACTCAATCCTCTGTGGAACCAGCAGCTCTCCCACATCTTTCAGAGACATACTTGGGATCTGGGACAATGACTTGCCCAGGATCACCTCGCCAGTTGGAAAGGAGGAAACACCCCAGATCCGTGGCCCTGTCTCCAGGGAATGCTGTGTCCAAGAGGCCCGCCCACAGGGGTGAGCCTGAGTATGCCCGAGTATGCGAACCCAAGTGAGAGAAGGGGGCTGGGAATCTCCGGGTGGCTGAGGACCCCTGCTCCTTCTAGAGCCTCTGCCTCCAGGTCTTTAATCTTTAATAAAGTATACACAATGTGAGTATCAAATGCCTTTAAAAGCAGCAGTTTTCTTAAAAAAAAAAAAAAGTAGCTATATGTTATAATGAGATGTGATTCACATACCATACAAAAATAGCTAACGTTATATTGCAATGGAACTCACATGCCATAGAATTCAGTGACATTTAATATATTCAGAGGAGTTATGCAGCCATCACCAAAATCAATTGTAGAATATTTTTATCATCCCAAAAAGAAACCTTAACCGTCACCTCCCAATTCCCCTGTGTTTGTCAGAGTTCTCCTGAGAATTCAGATGTGCATTTGAATTGGCTCTTGCAAGTCCTAAGATGTGCAGGGTCAGTCAGCAAGCTGGAGACCCAGAAGAACTGGTGATTTTGTTCTAGTCTAAGGGCAAAGGCCTGAAAGCTAGGAGAGCCACTGGTGTAATTTCCATCTGAAGGCCAGTAGGCTTAAGACCCAGGAAGAAAGCATGTTACAGTTTAAGTCCAAAGGCAGAAGAATTGTCTCTTACTCAAGGAAGGGTGGGCTTTTTGTTCTAGTCAGGCCTTCGGCTGATTGGATGAGGCCCACCCACATTTGCAGTTGGCTTTCGGTCTACTGATTTATATGCGAATCTCATCCAAAAACACCCTCACAGACACACCTGGATAATGTTTGACCAAATATCTGGACACTTTGTTCCCCAGTCAGGTTGACATCTAAAATTACCTATCACATCCACCAGTTTCCACAGCCCAAGGCAACCACTAGACTTACTGTCTCTATGGAATTGTCTGTTTTGAGTGTTTCATGTAAATAGAATCATATAGCTCATGGCCTCTCAGCTCACTGCAACCTTTACCTCCCAGGTTCAAGTGATTCTGCCTCAGCCTCCCAAGTAGCAGGGATTACAGGCATGCGCCACCACACTCAGCTAATTTTGTATTTTTAGTAGAGATGGAATTTTATCATGTTGGACAGGCTAGTCTCAAACTCCTGACCTTAGGTGATCCACCTGCCTCAGCCTCCCAAAGTGCTGGGATTATAGGCATGAGCCACCACACTTGGCCACACTTTATTTTTTCCCATTCATCAGTTGGTAAATATTTGGGTTCTGATTTTTGAATTTTTTTTTTAGAAGGAGTTTTGCTATTACCCAAGCTGGAGTGCAGTGGTGCAATCTTGGCTCACTACAACCTCCACCTCTTGGTTCAAGTGATTCTCGTGCCTCAGCTTCCCAAGCAGCTGGGAGATGCCCGCCACCACACCTGGCTACATTTTGTATTTTTAATAGAGATGGGGTTTCCCCAAGTTGACCAGACTGTTTTCAAACTCCTGACCTCAAGTGATCCCTCACCTCAGCCTCCCAAAGTGCTGGAATTACAGGTATGAACCACCACGCTTGGCCTTTGCTTTGTTTTTGAGACAGGATTTCATTGCCATCGCTCAGGCTGGAATGCAATGGAGTGATCACGGCTCACTGTAGCCTCAACTTGCTGGGCTCAGGTGATCCTCCCACCTCAGACTCCAGAATAGCTGGGACTACAAGCGCATACCACCATTCCCGGCTGATTTTTTGTATTTTTAGTAGAGATGGGATTTCACCATAGAATTTTAAGCATATTAAAGACAGCTGATTTAACATGACTAGTAAGTCTAACAACTGGGTGTCCTCAATGATTTTTTCTGTTAATTTTTCTTTTTCGATTGATTGAACCCTACTTTCTTATTTCTTTATGTGCCTCATAAATTTTGCTGAAATCTTGACATTTTAAATATTGTAAGGTGGTAACCCTGGAAATCAGATCCTCCCCGGCCCCCACCATCTAGGCTATTATAGTTATTTATTTAGTGTCTTTTCTTATTATCTTTGTAAACGATTCTTTGTGGCATGTGGCCACTGAATTCTCTGTTCCTTTTCCTCAGTGGTCAATGCTACTGATTCTTAATTACCTATTGCCATAAAACCAAGAAATAAAATGAAAAGAATTTAAAAAAATCCTCCATGCTTTGCAGATTGGTTCTGAGTTGAGGCACTCCATCAGTGATTAGCCGGACCGCGTGCACCTCTGCGTTAGCTTTAGCTGGACCGCGTGCACCTCTGCTTTAGCTTTAGCCAGACCGTGTGCACCTCTGCTTTAGCTTTAGCCGGACCGCGTGCAGCTCTGCGTTAGCTTTAGCCGGACCGCGTGCAGCTCTGCTTGCACAGAGTCTGGAGATCAGCCAGAGGAAGAAGCTTCGTGTGCCTGTTCAGGTCTTTTTGGAGCTTATCTCCAGCCTTGGGCATGCACCTGGTTTATCTAGATTTTCCAGTATATGCAGGAGCTTTCCGAAGTCTGTATTTCTCCATGTTTCTCCTTCCCCAGCGTCTTCCTTCCTAGGTGCTCTGGTGTGTCTGCTTCTGGCCCCATCTGTTTTCCCTTGATCGAGATGGCTGCAGCTGGCATGTGCTTTTAAGTGCTTTCAACAAACCCTGCTGGGAAGGAGGCTCCGATGCTGACAGT